TGGGGGTCCAGTCGTGGGGCCTGAACTCTGGGCCTGGGCGCTGTCCCTCAGCTCTTCAGCTCAAGGCTAGCACTCTACCACTTGAGCCACAGCGCCACCTCTGGCTTTTTTTCTTTTTGCTTATGTGGTGCTGAGGAATCGAACCCAGAGCCTCAGGCATGCAAGGCATGCAAGGCTCTACCACTGAGCCACCTCCCCAGCCCCCAGAAGTAATAATCTCATAGTAAATCATTTTGAGAAAAGCTTGGTGGCAAAAAATACTGGCAACAAATACTCATAATGAAAAAAAATTAGTCAAAATTAATACGTGAGCTATTCACCTATCAAACATAATCACAAGGCAAAGGTTTTAAGTAGAAGAATTATTACCTCTCAGTCCTCTGACATTAGGGAAAGAAGAGGTCGCATCTTATAAACATTCTCTAGTCCCTACCCCTCTCCTAATTTCTGACCCACAGGAGACAGACCCCCTGTTTAGGGGATACTAGATTGCAATCACGTTTAGCAAGTGGTACGACTTTTGTATAAACTATTTTTGAGAAGTACTTGTCCACTGTAGCTTTCAAAAGACACTCTCATTATTAGATTCTTATATGCTTTCATTTCATTGCTTCTGGCCGCATTTATTACTTAAAGATTCCTCAAATCATCTTTACTCTCAATTCTAGATGTTTACAATAATTTCTTAGTAGCATTTCTTTAAAGTTTTCCCACGTATCTTTCTCTCTATTAAAACAATGTAACCAGACACCATTAAAGATGATATCACCCACGAGTTTAGTTAATATGCCCAGGGTTCCAAAAGAGTCATATTACCTCATTGAAGGTGTTTCCCCTAGAGCTGTGGAGACCTGACCCTGAAGGGTTTCCATAATATTGTCATCTGAGTACAACTGCATAGGTGTATTAAACTGAGCATGAACAATCTTCACACCAGGAAGGTCCATTTCCAAGGGAATGTTAGGGGCCATCTTAGCAGCAACTTTCAAGTCACCAGGGCAAATAGAACTTAGGGTACTGACAGAAGAAGGGGTGCTACGTCCACTGCCACCATCAATACCGGAAGGAGTACTGCATCCACTGTGTTAATGACCGCGTGACACAGACAGGAGATACAGAATGGAACATGGAGAACAAGACAGAGGTTACAGGAATTGAAGACAAAAAGTAAGAGGTGAATTGTAGCAAACTGAAACACTGGCTAGAATTTGCCTTCGATACAATGTTAGAAAAATTCACAATTGGAGAAAGTTTAATAAAATTAAAAAGCACAAGGTGATATTACATTTGTTGGCTCTATTTTAATTGATTTGTAAGTTGATGGTTTTATATATATATATGTATATATAGATAGAATGGCATATGAAGTAAAAACATACAGCTAGCTTCACTTTCTAAAACTAGATCAAATAATTCTCTACCTGACAATAATATGAATGAATAACAGAAGAAATTACATTGATGTACACTCCTTTCAGTTTCTGAACTATAGTTTTTAAAATTAGAAGACTAATGAATAATTCTTCACAAATAACAAACAAATATGCAACTTGAAGATCTAATAGAAGATTTAGGCTAAAAGTTTCATGAATAATTAACCTTTATTCTAATAATAATTGGCAATTTGTTCAACCTTCATTCAAATAATAATTGACAATAATTTGGCAATTTACTTTGCAAATATATTGTAATTGTTATATTGTACATAAGTATTGATGTTTATTGTACATTATATAGTATAAATATAATATATTGTAAATATTTAATTCCAACAATTGAAATGTTTTATAATTTCATTGTGTGAAGGATACACTTTTGAAAGGTGTTCTGTAGCTAAATACAGGAATGAGAAACAGTCAAGAAATCACTTTACAATGAATGACTGTGGGAGAAATAAGTTTGTCTCAGAATACTGGACTATATCTTAGGGCTAAGACATATTTCCTCTACACATACGTATTTTATGTAAACATTTGGAAACACACATACATCTCCATGCATTTCTCATTTCTTTTAATACAAACTATAAGGCTTTAGGTAAAAGATTATAAAGGCCAGGCATGCAAGTTAAAAGCTAAGGAGATTTCATGTTCTTTATGGAATTGGATAGAAAGCCAATCATAGCTGAACAATTTCCTGCATGCTTGTTGTCTGTTTAATTTTGCACTGTGGATTGAACACAGGGCCTCATGCATGTTAAACACCTACTCTACTACTGAGCTATACCCTAAGCTACCTACATTCATGAAAGGAAACTCTCTCTCTCTCTCTCTCTTTCTCTCTCTCTCCTCTATCTCAATAGTTAACTTGAACCTAGAGTTTTGTGAATGGTAAGTACTCTGCCTCTTGAACCATATCCCCTGCCTTGATGTTTTGGAATTTGTTTCTGAGGTAGCATCTTGTTAACTTTTCTTGGGTTAGCCTTGAATTTAAGGTCCTATTATCTCTGAATGGCTGGGATTACAAGGGTACATCACTTTCCCTGGCTCACTGAGAGAATTAAAAACAAATTGTGTTATCCAGTTCGTTAGTTATATAGCTTAAATCACAGGTTTGTTCCAGAGAGGGCGGTAATTTCTAGGGAAGTTGGCCTATTACAAGTTTAGCAATTCAATTTGACTCTGATTAAATAAGTTGTGCATCAATAGTGTACTAGTAGTTTGGAGCATTGCCCCTCAAAATTTTGCCTTGATGAATTGTTGAGAAAAAAGAAAAAGTTCAGAACCTCCAGCACAGAGTAAAGGGGGTTCAGGGTGAAGGAAGGATGAGAGAAATGTTTAACATTTGTATTTTGACACCTATTTTTTTTAAAAAACAAATCTCATTCTTGTTCCTTTCCTCCTCTCTCCAAAATTCAGCTATATATATTTCCTGGTCCTGTGGCTTGAACTCAGGGCCTGGGCACTGTCCCTTAGCCTCTTTGTGCTCAAGACTAGCATTCTGTCACTTGAGCCACAAAACTACCTCTGGCTATTTTTGAGCAGTGCATTGGAGATAAGAGTCATGGACTTTCCTGCCTGGGGTTGGTTTTGAACCATGATTCTCACCTGCTGAGTAGGTAGGATTACAGGTGTGAGCCTCTGATGCCCGGACATTCAGCTCTATTTAAAGGTAGCTTTAAATGATAAGCTCATGAATGTCCTGTCCTTATCATTATATTAAAATTAAAAAGATATATAAAAGGATTATGTAACTAGGTCTTTTTTTCTGTTTTTTTTTAAATAAAATGTGTTGTATGTCTTTAGGAAAGCCATATAGCCAAAATTAGTAGACTTGAAGTCATAGTAACTCAGAAAATGAAGTATATTAATTTCATTGTGCTTCTTTGGAAATTGTATCTATACTTACTTTACAGTGAAATAGCATTTAAGCTTCTAATATGATGTTGTTATTACTGAAGGAGTGATAGTGTAGAGAAGATATTGAAAATACAAAACCAAGGAAATGATGCAGTGGAAACAGAATGGGAATCAGGAACAAAGAGGTCATACGGGATGGCCCCAAGTTGCCTGCATGAGGCATATTTGCTGAGCATTTATTATTCTGTTCCAGCTTCATTTCTAGGTGTCAGACAAGTCCTGGGCTGGTATGGGGCTTACTTTCTAGGAGGAAAGCTGTCTTTGGTAGTCATCACCTTCTTAACGCTTTCTTCCTTCTCTTCTACTCCAGATCTCCTTTCTGGGGCTGAAATAATAAAACTGCCTTGTTTTGAGGTGTTTTTGGCACCTGCTTCTAGCTGATTGAAAGGTTTGTATTTGGCAGTCACGAATTAAGTGACAATTTACCACTTGCAGAAGAAGCAAGTCCAGGGTCTACAGGTGCTAATAGCATACACCTAATATCGATGAGCATTTTGAAAAGCTGATGAGTAGATGTCTCACTTAAAAGCACTTAATTTTGTTGGTCATGAGGCTTAAACTCAGGTCCTGGATGCTGTCTCTCTGAGCTCTTCTGTTCAAGGCTAGCACTCTACCACTTTGAGTCACAGTGCCAACTCTTACCTCTGGAGGTAAGAGTCTCATGGGGACTTTTCAGCTCTCTCTGGCTTTGAACTGTAATCCTCAGATCTCAGCCTTTTGAATAGCTAGGATTATAGGAGTGAGCCACCAGCCCTGGCATCTTAAATTATTTTTGAAGAACAGAATGATTAAATAAATTATGAAATGAATCCACCTATGTCTCTTCCTCCCCCAATTTGTATGTAAGTCATTATTCAATGTTCTTAACCCAAAGATGACCTCAGTCTAACTGCAGATTCCTCTCCTCCTTGCTGACTAGTTGGGTTGAGTCAGAACAATGAGTGTGAGACTTTCTGATGTTACTTTTTCAGATTTTAGTTTCTTTTCCCATATGTTGAAGCTCCGTTTCTGGAGAAGACACTTGAAAAGGAGTAGCTGGAGCTGGTCAGTTTCCCTGACTGACAGGTAAGAATTTACATCTTGCTCATGATTATTTGTCTTGGAATAATGGATTGGCTATGAGAATCAGAAACCTCTCTCTAGTCTTACCTTATGCTTGTTTCACCCAAGTGGAAAAAGTTCCTTTTCCAGGGGCGTTTTTTTCTTTGCAAGTTTCCATGAGAATGAAAATTAATAATAATAATAGCGATAATAATAATAATATCACTATTATCGATAAGCAAATATCCATCAATGTGTCTCTCCCCAGTCCTTTTACTTTTAGTTTCTTTTATGTCATTCATGGGGCCTGAACTCTGGGCCTGGGCACTGTCCCTCAGCTCTTCAGCTCAAGGCTAGCGCTCTACCACTTGAACCACAGCGCCACTTCCGACTTTTTCTGCTTATGTGGTACTGAGGAATTGAATCCAGGGCCTCATGCATGCAAGGCAAGCGCTCTACCACTGAACCACCTTCTCAGGCCCTTAGTTTGTTTTTAGATAGGGTCTTGTGCTAACTTTGCCAGAGCTGGCCTCAGACCATCATATTCCTTTCTCTATCTCCTGAGTAGCTAGGATTATAGGCATTCACTATCATGCTTAGCCCTGAACATTTCTTTTTAACTAAGGGCTAGAAGGAGAAAGATTTGAAGAATCTTTGAGAAGTATTGCGGTGGGATGACCAGTGTCTGTCAAACAGATAAAGCAACCCTAGCCAGATTAGCTCCCTAATTCTGACCAGGGGCTAGTTTCCATTTTCTGTTCCTGTTGGCTAGGCTTTCCTGACCTGAAGCAAACTAGTCTCCCAGATTCAAATATCACCATGTTCTGGATAGGGGCACTAGTTATAAATACACACGATGAGGCCTGCCTAAGATTACATCTGACATCCTGCCAATAGTTACTCTTATAAGGAAGCTATTCGGCTACTCTTCTCTGCTGAGTGAGTTTGTTTCTTTTTGCTTCTGACATAAGCCTTACAAAGAGAAAAGTCACTCCAAGCACCTAACAGTTACTTTTCTTTGTGATTAGTAAGAATTGTTTCAAAGAGCATGCACTTCAAACTTCACAATCTCAGTTTATGACCTGCTACGGCCTGGGATTATGAAAGGTTTGGGCCGAATATTGTGCTTGTGTTCAAAGTAGTTCATGTCCTGTAAAAACAAAGGGTTAAAAAAAGTCCCTCAGTGGAAGATCTATTTTGGGTAAGATCGGGTGAATGATAATTGTCTACAGAGAATTATTTACCACCAAATATTGAGCAATATGAGCTTAATGATGAACCTAGAGACATTTCTTCCCTGTCTGATCACTCAATGTTTAGAAACTGGCAAGTGGGCTCTAAAAGTGGTCTTTAAAAATAACAACAATAATAAAACAACCCTCTAGTGCTTTTAGGAAAGCAAAAAGAAAACCACAAGAGTTGGACTTTTGGAAGGAAGGCAAACATTTTATCACTGTCAAGAATATTGTGACGACAACTAAGAACCCAGTACTTACTTTTGAGGAGAACCAGGAATGAGACCTCGCAGCTGTCCGTGCAGGGCATCTTGGATATTGCTGGTTGAATAGAGCCCAATTGGCGAGTTATAGGAAGCGCTCACTACCTGTCTTTTGTCATCAATGTTTGCGGCTGCAACAAAAGGCTGGGCCCTTCTGTTGTGTGCAGTACCAATGGGTTTGAATTCCTGTACATGGCAGACAAAACACACAGCCACAGAATGCACACAAAGCCATTAGTGAGCAAGACTAAAGGCCTTGCTGTTGTTAATGAAGGCATCTTTACTTGCTTTGGGATGGATAGAATGGTTACAGGAGGAGTTAGGGAGACATCTTTCTACCATCCCTCTGAAATTGACATGCGAGCAATATCTTACCATGCATAGGGATGGGCCATCTGTACAGATATTATAGCATATCTAAACACTGTATCTCTTGCCAGTCAGCTTCTGACTTGTTCATCCACTTATTTTTAATGACTTATTTGAATACTGAAAGTTTGCGTAAGAACTGTGCTTTTAAAAAAATTATTAATAGACTTAACTTTTTCTTATTTAGAAATCATGAATCTTTTTATTCTATTAATATCTTCTTTTTGTGTGTGTGTGTGTGTAGTGCTGGGGATTAGACCCAGGGCCCCATTCATACTTGCTTAGCACAAGGTCTTGGGGTTACCTTCCTCTGCAGGAATGCTGGGCTCATGTCAGAAAGTGAGTCACAGAGGCATGTATGAGTTGAAGAGGATTTTTACTTTGTTTCTTGGGACATAGGATCACAGAGTCTTAGACACTGAATTTGAAATATACTAGAATAATTGGAAACCTATATTTATATTTTTACCATAGGAATAATACTTTTGAGTTTGGAATACATGTATAATTTGTAAAGGTATTAAATCTTATTTTTCTAATCTAGACAACAGAAGAAACCAGCAGGGAATACTAAACTAGATGTGAACCAATTCAGTTCCACAAACAGTCAATCCTATGATTCTGTCTCCAGGAGAGTATCTCAGTGCAGAGGTGCTGGCATGAAGCATTATTGCCATTTCTGTTAGGCAGCAGAATGACTGTAACAACCATCTGGAACTGTAGAAATGTTCCAGCTTTGAATTACAGAACAGGAGAAAAATATGTGCAGTCCAACATCCACATAGTGGCACACTGTGATTGTTTTAGCTGCTTAATCATGAATTTGCACTGGCTCTCTTTTATCTTAAACATTTTGAGTAGCTATTAGTAGAGCCTGAAAAAGTGAACTGGAAATAATTGTAAGTAATAGAAATGGCCATGATTTAGGGCTTTGTCACTATTTCTGGTATGAAAGAAGACAGGAGGCTAATCGCCTAATTTATTTGTGGTGGATTATAAAATTTTCAGGCTAATTAAAGTGTGAATCATGCAGGAAAGAACCACTCGAGGTTTTCGTGAAGCTTAGCTTTTTTTTTTCTTGACAAAGTATGATTAAAAATCATGGTAAACAATTAAATTGACAATAATTAGTTACCGCAGTGTCTTCACTGGAAAAAAAATCTCTGCTTTTATCTTTGCCTTGAAATAATGACTAAATATGGATAGTGATTGTTCTGTAAATGAAGCAAGTTCTCTGCAACATTTGTGCATTAGTAGTTTCTACTGGACTTCTAAATAATAGCATATATGTTAATTGGCTCCAAGCTTTCTCTTTGCCATTTTTAGTTTTGGTTATATACATTACCAATGTCACAACTGAGTAAGATGTTTTTTTTTTTTAGACTCTATTTTCAGCTCAGGTCACAGAAAAGAAGTCTTTGTAAAACAGGCTTAAAACGTTTTTATTTAGGCTTTGCAAAGCATTAGTTTATGGCTTCTAGAGTCATTCTTCCAAGCACAGTGAGTTGTCTGCACCAAAGGTAAACAAGGGCCTGAAAGTATGGTACTGGGAAGCAATGTCACACAGAATGAAAAGACAAAACCCATTAGAAGTTTGCTGTTCTACTTTCATTCCTTTTTGCTTTTCTTGGAAAAGCATGTATAACCCTTTTTAAAAAAAAAAAACCCATTATACAGCAGCTAAGAACATCCAGCTCTTGTTTATTCTATCCAGATTGACCAAAAAAAAATCATCCAATAATATTATCTCTCAGGGTTTCAAAAAGTAATCATTCAAGTTAAAATGATTATTTTGAATATTAGGAGCTTATAGTAAGTAATAATATTTTCAAAGAATGAAATGGTAAGGCTGCCAGAGTGAAAACTAGTGAATTTGATGGAGCTCTAGCAACACTGGGAGAATGTGGGTCCTGATTGTCTATTTCCCCAGTCTTTGAAATGACCTTAGGAATGACAACACTCACAGACAGTTCAGCTTCAATTTTTCCTACGTGAAGAAGTTGCACATAGCTGATGATTTATTACCAACTCCATCTGAAAGAGTAAGTTTTTCCCATACAATCCATTTTTTTCTCTTATTTTCCTGTGGCTTATATTTTCACATAAAAAGGGCAGGAAAATAATAGAAACAAAGCTGTGAATGAACATTTACTTGATGAAGGCCCAGTGAAGACATTTCGTATTTCATCAGGCTTGAAACTTACGAACACCCTTGCTATGCACGCTCACTATTCAAATGCACGATAAAGTCACCCTTAAACACATTTTATTTCCTCCAGTGATGTGTTTCAAGTGTTCCCATCGCTCACTGGGAAAAAGTCTGGGGAAATGGTGATTATGAAATTTGTTCTGTGTAGGCTGCCTTCTACTGTTCAAAACATTGTAAAGTTGAAGTTGATTTTACAAAAATAAATTGTGACTGCCCAAGTAAGTCATGTCTTTATTATAAACTGTGAGGAGGAGTCAGTCGTGTATACAGAAATGGAGACAGCTTTCTTCCTGTGCAACCATTTTTGTTTCTGAAAGGCATTTCCCTACTGTGATAGCCACCTTATAATTTTGAGTCATCCAATTGCCATTAAACTAAAATAGACAAAACAGTTTATCTGAAAACAAATATACCCTTATTCTAGAGCAATACTTTGCTTAGGAAAAGGCATAGACCGACAGGATTGTATGAAAGGAATTTATTCAGTTGTTGAGAAATGATCTAAACAACTTCTAATGTCCTTTTTGAGCTACAATTCAAGTTAAATCTATAAAAACACAAAGTTAACTCTTTAACAACAGCATAGAGAAAAAGAAAATCTAGGTATTAAAATTTGTTATCAATTGTTACTATAACTGTTTATGGAAAAGTCCAGGCCTAAACTTATTGATAGAGAAAAATATATCCATTAACATTTTATTACTTAAGGTTGGATGTAGATGGCAGGAAACAATACATATATATGTATATATATATATATATCATTTATTTATTTTTATTTCTGGTACTGGGGCTTGAACTCAGGGCCTAGACACTATCCCTGGGCTTTTTTGCTCAAGGCTAGTGTTCTGTTGTTTGAGCCATAGCCTGACTTATGGCCTTTTAGTAGTTAATTGGAGAGAAAGTATCACAGACTTTCCTGCCTGGATTGGCTTTGAACTGTGATCCTCAAATCTTAGCTTCCTGAGTAGCTAGGATTACAGGTATGAGCCACTAATCTGAATATTTTATTCTAATAGCAAAAGTCATTTTTGATCAAAGTGTGACTTGAGTAGAGAAACATTGTATTGATCGCCAACATTTTACTACTAATCTATTTATTTCTCAAACTGATAGGCCTCTGTTGTTCAAAGGACTGCTATATTTGCAGAGTTCTTATCAAAAGAAATCTCTTTGCTTAACTTTGTATTGTTTACAAAAACCCCAAATAACCATAACTTAGTTTTTTTCTAGTTGATTATATATATTGCACAGGTCACAAATGTGTAATAATTTTAAAAAAGATCTAGCATTTTCTTTTTAGTTCTTTTTAATTATTATTATCTTCAAATAGTTGTACAAGGAGGTACAAGTGTGTACTTTGTTCAAAGAAAATTCCTCTGTGTTCTAAGAACATTCTGTTTTCGGAAATGCTGGTTCTGAAGTACTACATTATATGAGATGGTCATGAAGGAATCTGGCCGAAGAGTCTTCATAAGGAATAGAAATACTTTGGTCCAACAAGAAAAGGGCTGAAATTGTTCTTATCTCTGAGCCCTTCAAACACTGGCCTCTTGGAGAGGATGCCAGGAAGAATTAGTCATGACTCAAGCTAGTGGAATTTTTAAAGGCTCCTTCTGACTGGCTTCTTTCGTCCTTAACCTAATCTTCACCTTCAGTGAAAAGAAATCTCATTTCCTTTTTTTGTCATTTGTAGGGTCATAAATATTCATGTTTCTAACCTCAAAATGCAGGACATATGGTCCAATACATGATTGAAAAGAGACCAGTGTATTTAAGATCAGGATTAGGTCTGAAAATCCAATTCTTAGAACAGTTAAAAATGAATGCTAACAGATTAGCCAAAGAGGAGTTACTCTTAAGCTCCAATTCTGGAGAGATATTAGCAAAGCACAGACTCTCATAGTAGCCTAAGCTTTAATAAATAGCTGTGCTTTAATAAATGGTCACTGGATTACCTATATGCCAGAATGGGAGAACAGACCAGTGATTGAGGATTTCTGGGGCATTGGTCAGTCTGTCTACTACTTGGTCCTAACATCTTTAATTGATGAAACAGGGCTTAAGAAATTAGGAGAAATAATTTCCAAAAGGGTGCTGTACAATTTTGGTTGTGTGCTATATATGGAAAAAGAAATGTAGAATTGGTCAACAAATGAATGTGTGCATAAGGCACTTAAATTTCTTGTTCCCTTCCCTCTCTCCCTCCCTCCTTTCTTCCTTCCTTTTTCCTTTCCTCCCTTTTTCCAGGCATTGGTGGCTCATGCTTGCAATTTACCCATAATCTTAGTTACTCAGGAGGTTGAGACCTAAGTATCATAGTTGAAAGCCAACTCAGGAAGAAATGTCCATAAGAAATATCTCCAATTAACCAGTAAAAATGTGTACTGAAGGTATAGCCCAAATGGTAGAGATTTGGACGTGAATGAAAAAGCTGAGTGAAGAGCACAAGACCCTGAGTATCACAATAGAAAAAAATGATAGGATAAGAATCTTGTAAACTCCATCTAAAGAGCACATAAGATGTTTCTCCTGTGGAAGTGTTATATTTTAACCAAAAATAAGGCTTTGATCCAGTAAGTATATCTTTCATGATAACAATGCAGAAAGCCACCATTATTATAAAATAGCTAAAATAGTCATAATGAGAACAGGAATCTCACTTAGGCACTTTTCTACCTCACTATCAAGAAAGCCAATGAGGCTTTCTGCTCACAGTCTGAAACTGGATGGTGAATCTAACTAATGATGACAGACACTACTTATTTGACTATGAACAATTGCATGTGCCAAGTTCTTTGCTTATACTGATGTATTTAAATCTTTGAGAAGCCCTCGGAGATACTTATATTTATGTAGTGCTACATCGGTGTCATCCAGAAGGAAGAAGAGGCTTACAGATTCAAATGAAAGGCATGGAAGATAAACTCAGGGGGTAATGATCCTGAAAGGGAGTCCACTACTGAAGTATAAGTGACAAATATGCTTTCAGCTCATCCTCATTCGATATATAGAAAAAGGACATGCTCAAATATCTAGCCATTTTATAGGAGAGCTTGTTTAAAAGGGATATTGAATTCACTTTAAGCCTTGTGAGTTTCTGAGTAGATAGTCCTAAATCCTGTTCTTAATTAGATTTTTCAGTATATCACAATTGAAGTTTGATTTAATTTCAGTGGATTTGGACTTTCTGAAAGTAGACATAATCAGATAAGCATCAGATTATTAGCTCATGACATAGAGTTTCATCAAGGAAAAATCCTCTGTTTTGTAACTCAACAGCACTGGCTAAATAGGTACATGATAACATAAGTTAAATCCTTTTTCTAAGATAAATTTAATTATATAATGCCAGAACTGGTAACTAAAGAAAGATGTAAAAATAAGATCTCTGTGAGAACCTTAAAGCAGTGAAGTTTGAAATAAGAATAACATTAGAGACACCTGTTACAAATGTAAAGCCTATTTTGTTTTGTGTTAATAGCATAAACTTCATAGATTACCTCATTTGGCCTAAGTCCATGATAAGAAGTGAAAAAGTGAACTCTATGTAGAGCCAGCCAAATTCTTCCTTATGAAAATATACTTATCTTTTCTCAAACTATTCACCTAGGTTTACTTTCTTTTTCCTGCCTCTGTCTCTGTGGTTTGAACGGTAGTTTGAACTCAGGGCCTCATGTTCTCTAGACAGGCACTATGCCATTTGAACCAACACCCTCTCACTCGTTTTTTGGTTTTAGTTTTTTTGGGGGGATAAGATTTTGTGTTTTTGCCTGGATCCTGGCTTATCCTGGATCTCGAACTTCCTACCTCCGACTTCCCACATAGCTGGGATTATATGTGTGTTCCATCATGTCCTGTTTATTGACTGAAATGAGAATGGTACATCTTTTTGTCTGAAAGTGCAGTCTTCCTCATCTCCACCTCTTCAAGTAGCTGGGATTACATGAATGAGTCACCGTGCCTACTGCCTTTTTTCTTGATCTAAGAAAGTATGGATCATAATAGATTAATTTTAGAGGGTAAAGATAGATCACTACTTCATTAGATGACTTGTTCCAATGTTTGCATTTGTATTTTCCCCTCTCTGCTGCATCCCAAGCATTGGAAAGGAAATATACTGTGAGTGTATATCATTTAGGATAAAATTCATACCTGTGGTTCTGCTTCTAAGTTGATTTTGAAAGGATGAGCTTTTCCATCTTCTGATACCTGTGGAGACCATAAGCGTGTTTCTGCCCTGAAAATCAAACAAAGTTTGTAAATGGCCAATTCGAGTAGAACTTCCAGGTTTAATATCCCTTAATTTCCATTGTGATTTTTGAGGACACTAACAGCCCTTAATAAGTAAATCAAGAAGAAAATTTTTGCTTACTAATTTTTATTTTCCCATTCAATTAGATTCCTTTTAGGGAATCTTGAATAGATCAAGGCCAGTTGTAGCGCAGTGTGTGATGTCTAGAGAAAACAGGATTTCCAATACATGTGGGAATCAACAGAAGAGGGAAGTTCTGAAGGCATATCTTCAAGATAGTAGGAGGTGGACTATGTCTCCCCTCAACCCCTCTATTCTACTCAATGCATCACAGAAAACAGAGAGGGGCTGGCCAGATGGATTTACTACTGGCATCAAAGAACTGAGCTGTGTTTAACTCTTCTTGGGCCTCTGAGACCCAGTGTCTTCTAAGGGACTGGGTACTTAGGGGAGGTACAATATTATGAAGACATAGGAACAGAATCTATTATTCCACAGGACACTGGTAGAGTAGCTAATTGAGATTTTTCTACCTCAATCATGTGTGACTATTGCATCAACAATGTAATCATGTACAGATAACCATGAAAACCAATAGTTATGTTCAATGGTTGAGATTCCAACTGGGGTTCTGTTAAGAATATCTTATTGGAAGGGGGACAGAATCAGAAATATCTCAGTATTTAACATCCATATGCACACGTATTTCCCACTTTATAATATTCTTCTGTTTGAAATCTCTACAAAACAGAAAACAGGCTGGATGCCAGTGGATCACACCTGTAATCCTAGCTACTCAGGAGGCTCAGACCTGAGCCAAGTGGGGCAGAAAAGTCTGTGAGTCTCTTATCTCTAAGTAATCACCAAAAAGCCAGAAATGGAGATTTGGCTCAAGTGGTAGAGTACTAGCCTTGAGCAAAAAAGCTCAGAGAAGGCACCTAGGGCCTGAGATCAAGACTTAAAATGGGCACAAACAAAACAAACCAAAACAAACTTCTCCCTCATCAAACAGCATATAATATTAACCACCAGTTTTAACATAATGACATTTTGGTGCATCAAGAGATTCTTTTAGTTGCATCTCTACATTCTATGCCACCATTTCATTCTTCTGAGTTTTTAGGGCCAATTAGGTCTATTTTTATAATTAAGCAACTGGACTACTATAGGGAGAAACATTTCATTTGGCCTCTTTGATTATTTTGACATTCCAAAAAATTTGTATTCCAAATTGGCTTATCCAATCCACATCTACTAGGTTAGCTGACTGTAGTGAAGATCAGAATAAAGTAGCCAATATATACAAAAAGCCCATCACACGTGTAGGCCCTGCCACAATTCTCATTCGGAAGAGGAAATCATTTGTTGTGCTGGTTCAGATTCTTTCCCCTAACAAGCTTTATCACCACAAATTCAAGAACACCTGTCAATTTTGAGACACAGCTGATGGGCTGCTGCCTTAATTCTGTCCTGTGCGTCAGCATGCGTCATGGACTCTGTGCCAAAGCCATCAATCGCCAGGATCACGTCTCCAGGACACAGGTTGGCAGCTGCCGCCTTGCTTCCGGGAGTAATCTGGAAGAAATCAAAGCATAATTTCAAAACAACATCTGGAATTATCTTGAATTTTGTGCCTGACATTTATATTTTAGCCTGGGAGACTATTTTTTAAATGTTTCATGAGGCAGGAAATCTTAAACTTAAGACAATTCTTAGCTGACCCACGATGTTAGCTCTGTTTTATTACCATGCTAACCAGTTGTATCTCTTTACAAATTACATTGATCTACTATTGTGTTTCTTACTTTCATTCAAAATGCCTTCCATACACCTCCACCTGTGAATTTTTTTGATCGTTTAAAAGAAATAGTTAACAAGTTTTGTTGTTGTTGTTGTTCCAGGATTTTCTGCTTGGGAATAGTGTCTTACTATATTCAGGCCACTTTCATATTTGAATTAAAGGTGATTTTTGCATTCTGATAATTAGCATCTTTAAAATTCACTTGAGAGATTACAATGGACTGAATATGTATCTACCCACACTTCTGTGTTAAAACTTAACCCTTCCAGATGGTGTTTAGAAGTGGGGCTTTTGGGTGGTGATCAGAAGTATGAAGCCTGTATGAATGAGATTAATACCTTCAGAAAGAGAGAGCCTAGGGAGAATTCTTTCTACCACGAGGAGTCTGTAATCTCAGTCTCAGTCATGCTGATACTCTAATTTCAGGTTTCTAGGCTCCAGAAATGCAAAGAATAACTTTCTATTGTTTATAACCCACCCGGTCTGTTTTGGTTTGTTATAATACCTTGAACTAAGAGAATGGAGTATAGAAATCTGCAGGATTCACTCTTGCATGAGCAAGAAGCCTGACCATATACAGATTTATGACTTTTCTTGTACTCTTCAGAGATCTGAATAGCAGGGTAGAAGCCTCATCTTGAGCATGGGGTCATCTTCAACAGAGGAAAAGGTAGTCTCACGTTAGCCATAAAAAAATTCAGCTAAAACAACAAATTGTTAAAGGTTGATTGTGAGTTAAGTGAACGTCCTCATCCTTAGGAACTACCAACACTAGGGAGGTCTGTATTTGCTCATTGAGTCCTCTCCGTGAATGAAGAACAGATGGAATAAACAGAACACAATTAAGCTGATAGATTTTAATTGAGCCACATCAGCATTCACATTAAGTGTAAATGGTCTAGACATAACCACTTTAAAACACAGATTGCCAAACTGAGGAAAAGGATGTTCCATTTCATTGCTGTCTACAAGAAAATCCCTATTGATATGTTTGGAAGGAGAAGATGAAAAGAACAGTTAAGGATCTTGAGAAAATATTTCTCTGTATTTTCAAATGTTTAAAAACAGAAAATATGAACTATTATGAATGTAAAATATTTGGTTAAAATGAGTAATTCTTTCGATTGCTACCCCTACTGTCAGTTTTCCTTGGTAAATTCCAAGGTATGGTCTACATGGACCATACTTTGAATTCTGACATTTTCCTAATGAGTGATTTTTCTCTTGTGTTGCTGGGTTAATTAGTAGCAAGCTACAGAGTATAGGCATTCATATGATCAATAGGGTAAACAATGAATACTCTATACTGTGTTGTGAAGCTATGGTATGATATTTGGTAACATAAACGTACTAAATATATTTTGGAGCGTGGGGGTGAAACATATGGTCTCATGGTTGCTAAGTGAGCACTCACTATCACTTGAACCATTTAATTTATCTGATGACTTTACTGGGATTTAGTCCTATCGTAAGTCAAAGAGCATTGTGTGTCTAAAAATTCACTGTGTATACTGCAGTATTTATTTTTTATTTTTTGGTTGGTCGTGGGGCTTGAACTCTGGGCCTGGGCACCGCCCCTCAGCTCTTCAGCTCAAGGCGAGCATTCTACCACTTGAGCTACAGCGCCACTTCCAGTTTTCTGGTGGTTTATTGGAGATAGGAGTCTCACGGCCTCTCCTGCCTGGGCTGGCTTTGAACCGTGATCCTCAGATCTCAGCCTCCTGAGTAGCTAGGATTACAGGTGTGAGCCACCAGCACCCGGCATACTGCAGTATTTAGAATGAATGAATAAATAATGAAGAATGAATGAAACACCTATTTATATCACAGCTCAGAAAATAAAAGGAGCTAATCTTTATATCCCCAAAGACTATAGTTATCAATGCCAATTTATTATTGTTATGTTTGCAAGTTCCTAAACTGCTCCCAGAAAAAACTGTATTGTTCCTAACTGGGCAGTCATTAATTCATCTTTTTTTCTCTATTTGTTTATATTCTGGTTATCCTATTTTACTTTGTGGATCCAAGGGTTCCAAGTTAATCTAAACAAATAATACTTAAAGGTCTCAGGGTCACCACTAAAATGTTGGTTCATTTTATTTCTGTAATCAGCTTGTGATTTCCCAGCAGGGGCAGCTGATAGAAGCAAGGTGACGACAAGTGTTGTTTGTTATATCTTCGCCTTTGGGAAGTATTTCTTTTTTTTATATGTAAGTTTTTTACTGTGAAAATACTGTACAGAGGGGTTACAATTACATGAGCAAGGTAATGAGTACATTTCTTATCAAGCATTGTTGCCTCCTCCTTTGTTTTTCCCTTCCCTCCCATCTCCACATCTACACTCCCTCTCCTGCCTAGATTGTAAAGTTAGTTTTTCAACATAGTGTCTTGTACGTCTCATTGTTACAATGGGTCAACCTGTATCCCTATTTAAACATTTTGTTTTTTCCCTTCCCCTCCCCAAATTATACCAACATCAAGCACAGTGAAAACAGGGGTTATACCATGGGTGAGGGACATACAAAGCAACAAAAAGAATCACATGGTACCTTATAAATATGTTAGAAACAATAGCAAGAAAGAAAAAACCACTTGTGTCCCTACCTTGGGGTTCATTTCGCTTAACTTCATCTTATCTGGTCATATGTACATAGCTTTTGACCTTTTCTACTTGTCCCAGACATATACTAGTTACTGCAAATAAGGGAAACCATGGGACCTATGTTTCTTTGGGCTTGGCTTACTTCACTTAATATAATTTTTTCCAAGTCTTTCCATTTCCTAACAAATGGGGTGATATCATTCTTTCTGATGGAGGCATAGAATTCCATTGTGTATCTATATATGTATACACACACACATACACACGAACACACATATATATCACATTTTCTTGATTCATTCATTTACTGAGGGGCATCTGGGTTGGTTCCATTTCTTAGCTATGGTAAATAGTGCTGAAATAAACATAGTTGTGCTGGTAGTTTTATTATGGTCTTGTTTGAGATCAGTTGGGTAAATGCCCAAAAGTGGGTTTGCTGGGTCATAGGGGAGCTCTATGTGGAGTCTTTTGAGGAACCTCCATACTACTTTCCAAAGTGGTTGAACAAGTTTACACTCACACCAACAATGCAGTAGGGTTGGGAACTGATTTCCATTTTGTTTTCCCAGACCCAGATCTATTAGAAGAACAAAAGTTTCCATCCTCAGTAAAACATAGAGGGATAAAAATAATGTTAAACTTTGGAGTTTTCTCTAGATATAGTATGCCAAAGTCAGTACTTGCTATTTTTAAACTTTTAAGACAAGGATGCTTTTCTCTGAGTTAACACAAGAAAGTATGGTTTAATGTGTTTGCTTTTAAAGCTCTTCAAAGCTTCACTAATACACTTGAGTGGATTTGAGTTATCTGACACCCATTTCTGACTTGGGAAAGTTCTTCATTTTTTTAGCTTTGGTTAGGATGAGCAGAAAGTAGGGTTGTTTGTAAATGTGCACACTTTACACAGTTATTAGAACTCAGAGAATGCCTAAGTAACAGATATTGAATTTATATGTTAAAAAGTATTGGGTGACTTATTTAAATATATTAAATATTCAATATTACTAATATGTATTAACAGTAATACAAAAGTTAAGAATGTTTCCTATTCATACAAAATGTTATATTTTAGAAAGTATTTTTTCTCACACCTTTGCTCTGATAGACAATGTGAATAGAGAAGGTGAGGAAAGATATCTGAATAACTTTTGGCTTTCTGGTAAGTGGACAGCAGCTACCTAACTATGTCACCAAGAGTTCATATACTAGTAGGAAAAGTGTTTGACAGCAATGGCTAGAATGCGCTGGTGACTTTATATTCAACTTCACAATTGCTGAGGAAGAATAAAAGATGTAGACAGAGTACGAGAAAGAGAAAATATGATGTCTTTACTTTTTCTTAATTTTCCATTTCCACTAGGTTGGTGATCAGAATATGACAATTATATTGGTCTGTAAGTTAAGCCATTTGTTTAAACATAAAAACCTATTACTTCCTAGAATCACTTTATGATTTACTATTATTTTTATGCTATAATAGTCTTACATCATAATTAGTATATTACAAGAGGTCTTTGTTGAACATAAAGACTCCATCCTATTCCAGATGTCTGGGATCAAGAGTTAGAATCTATGGGAGAAGAGCCAGGGAATTTGTGTCAACAGCTGCCGCTGATGATTCCTTTTGTTCACATTAAACTATTACGTGGGTCTATTTGGGAAAAAAACTAATTCAAAACAAAACAGTACATCTGTTATGTCTTATTTCCTATGAAAGACACAAGAGAAGCCCAACATATGCCTCTGTTATGTTGCTGATATTAAGAATAAATATGGAACTGGGCACAATGGTATAGAGAGAATTGTGGTCCTAGATATGCAACAGGCTGAGGTAAGATGACCCTCCCTCATGAGTCCAGGGGTTCTAATAACACCGCAACGAGAGAAATCAAAATGGTCAAGATTTTAGAGCAGGGCAAGAATGTACTGAACAACAGCACTGAGAACATTGATCAAATAAACTTCATAAGCCATTACTTATCAAATAAACGTTACATGGCTTCCCTGGTAACAGGAATTCTCCAGCACCTGGTTGCAGTAGATGTTACGGCACAATCCCTGCATGCAGCTGGGCATGTATACTCAAAAGTTATCTGGGTGTTTCTCTTGTGTGGCTGGCATAAAAACTATTCTTTTATTGTTATATTGAGTGACTGTTATTTCACTTAATCC